CCCGTTGCTGCCGCTGCCCTTGTTGTTTCAGCTGGCAGTGCCCGCTGCCCGGCACCCAGACCCACGGCATGGCGGTGGGCACCGTGTGGCACGTAGGGACCCATGCCGGTGAAAAGCGAGTCTGGCGTGGGGCAAGTCACAAACCCAGCGAGGCCGATTCCTTCTGGAAAATTAATTCTTGGTAATTAACTGAAGAGAAGCTCTTCTCTGGAGTACCTGGAGGCCATCACTCAGTCTCTCTGCGCCGTGGCTCTGACCACGGCCCTTGCCGGGATGTCCTTGAATTTCCTCTGAAGAGTTTGCTGGGAGACCGGAGCTTGGAGGAGGAGGAGGAGGAGCGGTGCCAGCCTTTGGCAGCTGTTAGCAGGAACGACTCGCCAAGCATGGTTCTGTGCTGCCTTACTCCTGGGCAAGTCAGAACAGCAGGCTAATTAGAGGGAAATGCAGGGTTCATTAGGCTGGAAATGCGGGAGCAGGGTATGGCAGCTGGAAGGAGTCGCCTGTGCCGTTGCAGCTGTGCTGGTGTGAAAATAAAAATAATCTTCCCAGCCAGCACAACAGGACCCCGTGTATTTGCAGCACAGGTTGTCTTTAAACATCACGCGGCGAATTCTGCAGGTCTGAGGGTTGTTAAAATAGGGATTAACGAGATCTCGTGGCTGTGGATCAGTTAGGAAAGGGTTTTCCTGGCGGCTTGGAAGCAGTACCTGAGCCCCACTGCGGCTGGTGGTGGAGACGCGGCCCTGCCGATCTGATTCATTGTCACCGTGTCCCTTCACAGCGTGGACAACTCGGGTCCCAGCTGGTGACAAGGCGCTATGTGGCGTTTTCCTTAGCGAAGGAGGAGAGTGAGTACCTTGCCGGAGCTTCCAACCCACGGCTGCCCCCATTCCTCGTGTGCCCCTGACAGCGGCACCGACCTGGCAGTGGCGGCTGGGTTGTCACCATAGTGCTGGGGCTGCCATTTGGCACAGGGCAGCTGCTGCTCTCCCTCGGACGGTCCTTCGACCTGGGTGCCGTATAGTCGTGTAGATTGAAGCGGGAAGGCAGGATGGCTTTGGCAGAGAAACAGAGACTGGAGCTGCTTAGCTCACAGGAGACTTAAACCTGGGTTGTGGTAATACAGTAAAAATGGCCCCAGTGCAGCTTCTTCCCTTTCTCACATGCTTGTTTAATGGAAATGAAAGCGATCTTAATGTGACAAAAGGAAACACGGGTCTGTAGTTCCCCAGCTGACTGCTGCGAGCGACTGAGATCGAACTCTTCCGGGCAGAAGGTGAGGAGGGGCTGCGTAAACACACCGGTGACCACAGAGGGGATGCCCAGGGACTGTGCCAGAGGTCTGCCCCGGTTTTGGGGCCAGCTGAGCGCTGCTCTGGAGCTGCCTGAGCCTTTGTCCGCTCACCAGGACTTTCCAGTGTCTTGAGTGTGTTAAGAAGCGAGAGGCGGCCTGTACGTCTGAGCATCACACCTGACGGGGGCTGCCCCTCTCCCGTGTTCTCGAGCTCTGCATGTCGGTTCTTGGGCTGAGAAGTGGCTGGGAAGTTTTAGTAAGAGCAACCAGTTTCCACTGTCAGGCATTTTTTGAAAGAGAACACTTCTCCTTTGCTACCCACTGAGGATGTGCTCAGTGTCTGTGCTAAGACGCCTTGACTTTGGGATTGGTATAATGCTTTGGCTCCAGGGGGTGCCGTGGGTGTGGGCAGGGGGTCACCAAACCACGGACCAGGCTGCTGCTGGTGGGTGGCTCCTCCTCGTTAACCCCTGTGCCTTCATTCTGCATCTCTAGATGTTGTAGGTCTCATTTTCTTTAACTGCAAGTAATGGGGTGTAAAAGGCAACCTTTGTGGCCGGGTGGCGATGCCGGAGTGCTGCCACGCTTGCTGCAGTTGGAAAATCTGAGTAGGGGAGCATGTTCTCCTGGGAGAGGGAGAAAAAGAGAAGTCTGCTGGGTGAGCCCTGATGCCCATGAGCCACCCAGTGACGCAGCCTTGCAGCCTGGAGCCGTCCTTCCCACCCGAGCGGGTACCGGGGGCTCTGCGGCAGAGTGTGCTGGGGCTGAGCGGGCCCTGGAGACTAGAAATCCCCTTCCTTCCCTCCCGCTGCTTCTGCAGTACCGCTGTGGGGTCCTGAGGTGGTCTGCGCTTTATCTCATTGACGACAGAAAGCCACGTGCTTCCAGTTCGTTATGAGCAGCAGGAAGGTGATAAGGGGCAGCGTACGGTGGGGGTCTTCACGCCAGGCGGTGGTCGCTGGAGGTGGGTGATGCCCCGTGGCCTCACTGGCTGGTCCCTGCTGAAATGGGATGGGGAGCAGATCAGACGCTCTCCGCTTACGGTTCTTCCGAGCGACATTTGGGAGGCACTGCCAGGTCGCTCTGCATGCGGCCTGGGTTGGTTCTGTGGCGTTTCAGCCTCAGCTGAAGTTGTTCTGCTATTCGCAAACAGGGATCACTCTTCGAACGCTCTGCTTGCAGGTAGAACGCTGCTGTGGCATCACAGGTAGCAGACAGAGTGGCTTCTTGTCACCTTCTCCAAACCGGGGTGCTGCGGCCGTGCTGCTGCCTCCCTCCCCAACCTCTGATGCTCCGGGCTGGGGCGGGGATCTGCGTTCAGCTGCCACTGCCCGAGCTTGGAGATGGTCCTTTTGGGGCCTAAGTAGAAGGTGCTGGTTGAGACCTTCTGCCAGTTTTTTTTTCTTTTTTTCTTGTTGGAATTGATCCTGAGCTTGCTCTTGCCCATCTTGGGCACTACTGGAGCAAGTGGCAGCATGGTGTAGGGAGAAAGGGCCTCGAGAGATCTCTAGCCCAGCCCCTGCTAAGAGCAGCAGATCTGTTAGGCCAGGTCGTTCAGGGCCATGTCCAGTGGAGATCTGAGGGTCTGACGGAGATCCTACACCCTCTCCGCCCCTGGGTTCAGTGTGTCACCACCCTCGGCATGAACGTTTGTCTTGGATATCTAAGCAGAAGTTCCCTTGCTGCAGCTTGTCCAATGCTTCTTGTCCTGTCGATGTGAAGCCTCCCTTCCCCGGACCTCCTGGCTGTGGTCGTGCACCACCCGGGAGGTGGTCGACCACCTCCACTGCAGGTTTGGGCCACTGACTCCTCTTCAACTCATCCCCCGGGCTTGCTGCAAGGGTTTTTTTCTAGCAAAGCTGCTTTCTAATCACTGGGGCGCATCCATCCCAGGCGCAGGGCTTTGCCTCTGTTGACCTTTGGGAGCTTCCCTGCAGCCTGGTGAGCTCCCTCTGAGGAGCAGCTCTACCTGCCAGCATACCAACTGCCCCGCTGACAAAGGCGTTAAGCAGTATTGGTCCAGATCAAGGCTCCGGACATCGCTTTGCAGAGCTTGAGGTGGGTAAGGAATTAGCTTTACCACCCAAGAGGGGCAAGTGCTGAGGGCTGGGTGCCACTGCTGCTTGTGCGTCGCTGTCGGAGGCAGGCTGGGCTGGCCCGAGAGCCTCTCCTGGGACAGGAGAGCTGTTAAGCCCTCTGCGTCCTCTGGGTTTTGCAACAGTGTTGTTATGTGGGCATTATCGTACCACGGTCACACCAACATCATATGTGCCGGGGATCAGCAGCTGTCTTGGCCTGAGTTTGAAAAACATCCGAAGGAGGGTAGTGTCGTCCATGTGCTCGGTGAATCTTTGAGCTATGCACAAATAACCTTCTGTCTTGGCTCCTGGCTGCCTGAATGCCCCCTGCCCCTCTTGTAAAAGTCAGATGCTGCTGGAAGTAGCTTTTTCCTGTCCTCCTGGCATGTGAT